TTTGGAGGCTGGGTGTGTCAGCTGAGAAGACTTGAAATACATGACTTTGGAAACATGTTTGGCTTCCTTCCCCAACACAGGCATGAAGGCTGAAGTTACAAAGGTTTGCAAAGGCCACTAAGCAGGGCAAATGTCACAGAGCCAAATGTTCTTCCTGCAAAAAGCATTAAACGGTTTGAAAAAGATAAGTTCAAATTTCTGCAGTTAAAGCCTGCGAGTGGTTTGCAAAAGCTGACTTCTACTTCAAAGCTGAATTGTATTTCAATGACAAATGTGTAAAATGCTATCTCAAAAGGTACTTCATTTAATGCAGGGTAAAAAAGGGGGAAGTTCGTTTATAAAAATAAAGAATAACACAAACTTAACTCCAAGAAGGAAAGAAACAGTATTGCTTTTCCGATTTCACTATGGGATGAGATTCCTATGGTATAGATCAAGCCTCGACCCCAAGCCTCAAGTGTTGGCTGCTGCACTGAATGCCAGCCACACCAGCCACCTCTATGGAGTCTTCTATGCTGTCACTGTGTGGCTGGCATCCAAGGGGAGGGAAATGCATGCATGTTTGAAACAGGCAACCATTTCTGTCTCCAGGTCCTTCTGCCCTGACATAGTCTGCTGCTTCTGAAATCCCCTCTCATTTGGTTGTGAAGGTCCCGTGACATAGAAGCAAGCTTTGTAACATGAGTGCTCAATGTGGGTGGCATGTTCCTTGTCCGGCCGTTTGATCTTCCCCTCCCGTGCTTTTTCCAAGCAGGCACAGAACAGCCTGTGAGCAGCTCCCAGCGTCTTACATTACTACTCTGGAGGCCATTCACCCCTCATCCGATCCACACCGCCTTCATCTCAGATCCGCAACAGCGGAAAGAAGGCTGAACGTTGATTATATTCAACAAATACCTGTGTTGAAATCTCTATGTGTCAGACACAAATATTGCCGTGATGTTTATAAACACCAACTTACTTACTCCTCAAAAGACTTAAAGAGTAGGCTCTGTTGCCAACCCCATATCACAAGCAAGGGTTGTTTCAGTGGTTCTCAACCTTCCTGACGCTAAGACCCTTTAATACAGCTCCTCACCTTGGGATGACTCCAAAACATAAAGTTATCTTTGTAGCACTTCATAACTGTAATTTTGCTATTGTTATAAATTATAATGTAAACATCCGTGTTTCCCAATGGTCTTAGGCAACCCCTGTGAAAGTGTCATTCCAATCCAAAGGAGTCGTGACCCACAAGTTGAGAACCACTGGTCTATTACAAGGTGGAACCAGGATTTTAGTTGAGTTTTCCTGACCATTAGCCACACTCTGGCTATGACTTGGATGAGTGTCTCCACAGGTGTTTGGTCCCAGGGTGGTATACTGGGAGGCAGTGGAGCCTTGCAGATGTGAGACATTCCCAGGTCATTAAAGCATACCATTCAAACAGATAACAGAAGCAAAGATTTTTCCTCTTTCTCTTTGCTTCTGGGCAGTTGCATAAGTTCCCCTGTGTGCTTCCCCCAAAGGAAAGCCACCTAGGATCTCTAGAACCTTTGGCCAAAATAAATGTTTTCTCCTTCAAAGTTAATTGCCTCAAGTACCTGGAGACCTAATGTCAGCAGCACCTAAGCTACAAGTACAACAAAGGTGAATGAAGCAATGTGCCAACAATACTTAGAAATAGAAATGGACATTTCTAAACAGTGTAGATTTGATTGTTTTAAAAACTAAAGGGAGGCTGGAGAGATAGCTCAGTGGTGAAGAGCTCTGGCTACTCTTCCAGAGGACTGGGGTTCAATTCCCAGCACTTACATGACAATTGACAATTGTTTGTAACTCCAGTCCCATGGATCCCATGCCTTTTTCTGGCCTCTGTGGGCACCAAGCATGCACATGGTACACAGATACATGCTCAGGCAAAACGTTCATGCACATAAAATACAATCTGAAGCAAATTTAAAAAGTAAAGGGAGCATTAAAAAGCAGAGGAAAGTGTTGTGGAATATTTGTGTTCACTGTAAAGATGTGTCTCTGCCTAAGGTGTCTTCTGATTGGTTTAATAAAGAGCTGGATGGCCAACAGCTAAGTACTGTGGAGCAGTCTTTTTGTACACTGTACAGATTTGTTGTCCTCATTGGTTTAATAAAAGGCTAACTGATAAATAGCTAAGCAGGAAGTGGTTAGGTGGGAGAGACAAACTGAGGGGATGCTGGGAAGAAGAATTGCGGAGTGAAGGGTTTTCCAGGAGACACAGGAAGCTGAGAACATACCATGCTGTCAAAAGGTGCTGCCACATGGTAGAGTATAAATTAGAAATATGGATTAATCTAAGATGGAATGGTTAGTAGCAAGACCAAGTTATCGGCTAAGAATTTATAATTAATAATAAGTCTCTGTGTGGTTGTTTGGGAGCCAGCTGGTGGGACAGAGCTGACTGGCAAGACAAAGAAAGTCTGACTACAGCTAAGCAGAAGAGAATAGATGGGATTTCTAGAGATACAGAGGAAGAAGAGAAGAAATCTAGGCACTTGGGATTCACCATCCAGAAGCAGGGAGAGCAGGGTGTGAAATATGGAGATGAGGCAGCGTGGTAGAATTGTAGATGAAACATCATGGGTTAATTAGGTTGTAAGGGCTAGGTGAAGGCAAGCCCAAGCTAAAGGCCAGGCTCTCATAATTAATAAGTCTCTGTGTCATCATTAGCAGGCTAGTGGTCCTGATGAGAAGTACCACTACAGAAAGGTCATGCAGGTTGTTCATATACACAGCTTTTAACTCTGGGTTTCTAAGGTTTCCGTTTTTTAAGTTTTGTGGAATACATGCGATGGATAATGTCAGTAGACTGGGGTAAAGCTAACCACTGCTCAAGCCTGTACCCATTTTTAAGCCTTCAATTATGTTTATATTCCTCTGATCGTGAAAGCAATAGGTATTTATAATTGGAAGAATCAGAAAAGTGCATGATCCAAATCAAATCTCATTCATGAATCCCATGACCCAAAAGTCTCTGTCCTGGTATTTTCGGAGAAGTGTGTTCTAGCCTTCTTTCCATGTGCACAATCATCCATCTATCTGCTGACTGGCTTAAAAGTAGCTTTTCACACCAGAGGGATTCACTTTAGTCAAGGAAAAAAAAGGATACTTACTTTAACATTGCAATATGTGCTAAGTATTCCCCTATGGTTGTAAAAGCAATGCAGCAATGTCATAAAAGTATAAATCATCAATGATATATGCCAAAGTTTTTTTTAGAAGACAGTAAGAAATGTTCTTGTCTTTATTCATGCTAACTGGTAGAGGAACTTAAAAGCACAATTTTTAATTTAAATAATGTTTTTATTATTTGAGAATTTCATACAATATATTTTGATCATATTCATCTCCCATTCAAGTTCATCCCACATCTTCCTCAGTAACCCAGCTTTGTGTTTTCTCTCTCTCTCTCTCCCCCTCCCTCTCCCTC